CAAGGTTGGTCTTACAGCTGATGAGATCCAAAATTCATACTGGTTCAGAAATGCAAAAGCATGAAACTTGCCTTTTGAATCGTCCGCTTCCTGGCATCATTTTAAATTGCAGATGAATTTCTATCGAGTGTTCCGCATCACAGGTTGAATCGGTTCACAACATAAATCACGTAACGAGTTGCACTCCCAGGACAAGAAACCCCCATCACACATTCATCACAAAAATCAAAAATCACTGCGCAGAACACACATTTTAAGAGCATTATTGCACAAACTTAGTTTTTATTTCTGATCTCTCCACGACAGTAACCAATTTGCATCGTTTATTTGTATGAGAAAACAGATTCAACAGAATACTTCCAACGTAACAGTAGCATTTTATGTCTTCTTGAACTCTTTAGACGACCTAAGGCTGACAATCTATGGATTATCAGCGTCAGTAATCAAGTTTCAGAAAAGCACAATATGGCAGCACTCACCACACAAGTCTGCTGACCTAAGAGCATTTCGTACAGTTAAGAAAACTTACTCATCTACTGTCCGATTTTTTTGTCTTGGCCGATGATCTATGCGCTTGAGGGGAAATGTAGGAATATAATGGGGGACTGCACACTGGAAGTAGAATCAGTTTTTATGCGCATCTGTAGAAATGATTTTCAAGGGGAAGGGTTACTATTTGCAACTGAAGGACTTCATCACCTCAAACCCCTTTATTTAATTCATATTAACTGTTAGCGGACAAGGCCAAATACTCTGCGCATTCAGTTACACTGGCCACGCCAAAAAAATGTGACAGTGATATCCGACTCGCTCACACGAAATACGCAAGCCAGATACTTCAAACTATATATAATCAATTGTATATAAACACTTCGAATTAATTCTCCCATGTACGTCTGATTAAATATTTGCGGAACGAGACTCGCAAGGAAAGAACTCCGGGTGCCGTGTCCGTATAAAAAGTGCAGCTAGTCGCCCGTTACTTTTCCATATGAATAACATTACCGACAACATTTCAGATGCCCAAAAGAGCATATAAATTTAACCAAAATGATTCTTATATTTCATGTATTTATTTCTTTCTGTGCGTACTAATTTCACTGTTTATGGCGAACGGAGCGAAATACGTTCAGAGAATGTGTAGCCTGTCACAATTCCAAAAATAAAGGAACAAACCGCTTTATCAAAATAAATGTTAGTATCATTTTAACAGCACAAATATGATCCACATCTAGTGTCTTATACGTACGAAGAATTATTAAAATTTGATATTTAATAATTTGTATATTCTGAATGTATTTATTTCGCTGCAAGACTGGTAGCTTATACAAAACTTAAATTCTGTTAAAGCCGATTTCATCCGTCAGAACGCTGTTATTAAAATATTACCTTAACTCTAAACACGTGAAAAGTGGCATCATTTTTCCTTTCGTATGTTCCTTTGGGTCCATACACATTCGAAGGGTCGAGTCTTTCAAAGGAACGGACAAATATGCTTGAAGAATACGTTTGGAACGCAGACACAGTCAATAAAAAAAATTCCAAACACTAAAAAGGCAAATGTTTAAAGGACTATATACGAATTAAAATGTGTACATCCATATAAAAAGTGCATACATTTTTCTAATTAAACTACAAAGCACTTGTAAGCACCTCTGTAAGTTTGATGGTGTATTTTTTCTGTAGAAAGTATGTTACGTTGCTCACAGACATGCGTGAGCGTTATTTCAGGGAGTTTTGTAACCGTGAAAAGGCACTACTCATAAAACAAACCTCCTGAAATAAAAGTACAAATGGTATTATGTCTACGCTACGCAACTCCTAAATATTTCACATCCAGCTAGCGAAAACAAAATGTGGAAACGCTTCTCTGGCACACGCAGTACCAAGTGACCTCCCTCATTAGCAAACCCGACCCCAGTTTTGGTGACTGTCCATAAGTAAAGCTTAATTCCTATCCGTCCGTTTGAATTCACGCAAAATGCAAACAGAAGCAACAGATCCTTTGGGAGACTCGAATTTCTTATACATAAAACACGAAGATATTTTTTAAGCGAGCAGTACTTCTGTGCTTGAATTTTCAAAAGGTTCATAAGCATAGCAAGTACAGCTTCAGCAGTAATTGCGTGCAACATTGGTAGGGAAATGTTGCTGTGTACAGCAAAAGTTTTTATTCCTGTATAAATGAGTAATTCTTAGAATTAATTTAATTTACTTCATTATGTGCGTAGAAGAAAAGTATTAAAAACGCTTATAATATATTTAATCATAAAACAGACTAATGTCATTTTTGTCACAGTTCTCAATTATGTATCACGTGTGATATAACAAGATACAGATAACAAACATTTCAGAATCTACCACTACTAGTTGTCAAATCAATAATCCGTGTACATTCAATTAAATTAGTAGTACTACCTTTCTGTAGTCGTTAAAATAAAACCTTAGTATGATAATTTAATTCATTAAGTCACAAATCGTTTCAACCTTAAAATAAATTTAATTACGTCAACTTCGTATTATAAACCCTACTTGAAATAATAGGGTATCATTTCAACATCAGCCTCTACATAAAAAGTGATTTGTTAAGCGATAGACAATTTAAAAAGACAGATTTTGGGTCATAATTTGTTTTTATCAAATGTCCAATCATTCGCTACATTAATACAATGAAATGTCACTTTCCTTAGAGCCCTTACTGACATATGAATTTTGTAAGGAATTATTAGACATCTGTTTGTTCCCATCGCAAAATACTCGAGGTCCACTCGTAGACCGAGATTCAGGCTGGTGCAGTTCTATGCACACTTGAAACATGTTTCAGTAAAAGAACCCTACTAACCCGATAATGCAATAGCCTCTGAAAGTGTTGTTTTGAAATACACAACAATATTTAACATAGACGTAGCACATTCTGCGATAAAAACTATTTCCACTATTTCTAGAATAACATTCAATATTTCGATCTGGAAAGTCTCAAAAGCGCTCTGATGATTAATGCCTCACGTTTCTCTAGAGACATCGCACACATACAGGTCTGAGGAACGTGATGATTAATCAGTACCGTGCTGACCTTTCGTCCATCAAAAATAGTCAGCACAACCGTCATTCAGTTTCCAGTGGTTTGTTCTAGGGCGCTGTTCTGCTGAAACCTTAACTGATTATCCACAAGAAACTCGCTGTGCAGAACTATATCCCGCTCTGGTTAGAAAGACAAAAGAATGCTCACAGATGACGTATTATAAGAACAAAACAAACTGAACTACACATTCTTATCACGGGTGCAATCTTGTTACGTGAGGTCTCTTCATGTTGACCCAAGACTGCTCGAACTGAATTTCATAACTATCCGATGAACCACCCTATAGGTACACATACATACATACATACATACATACATACATCATCATCATCATCATCACAAGCAAGGTGCACATATTAAATGAATGCCATTTTACTGTCAACCTAACCTAATGAACTATGGAACTAAACGTAACCGAGTATGTCATATGATCAATGTTTAGTGACCTAGATTTTACAGGCATTGGCAGGGCACTGTGAGTAGGCCAACACATATCATGGTCGTCTCTCGAATGTTCAGTAACTTCATGAGGATTCCTGTCCCCACCCCAAAATTCTAAGGTTATGTTGATTAACCCTTTGAGTCCCGAGCTGTCTAAACAGTATCTCAGAATTCAGTTCCCACTGGAAACAAATCACAACACTTCTCCATTACAAAGACCATGTTATTAATGATGTACAGGGAATTAATAGCTTTCTGCTTTGAAAAAAACCCACAAATGCGATGTCGACATAATGCGGAGTTATTAATTTTTAAAGCAGGTGGCACACATAGTAACCACTGGGCTTTAAAATGTCAACGTTTCTTGGCGAATTGAATGTGGCTTCATCACTGCTTGTAAAAATTCCGTTGCCTTTAAGTTTGAAAGAAACTCAGAACAAAATGTTTAGTAAACCTGTCTGCCTTGAATAGTTACATAATGCAAAAGTTGGTACTTACAACTTTGAAATTTCAAGCATCACCGCAGAATGCTGTGCACTGTACTGTGGCATATTTAATTGTGTCATCCTGCCTGGTTGATTTGTGTCGACTGTTAACGAAAGTCTCGTGAACTGTACCCACTTGATCTGTATTATTGAGATATTTCTTACAAACGTAGCCAGTCTGTTCAAATAGTTTATACCGCATGTAACATCGACAATTTTGGTGTCGATTCCCTTACAAACACAGCACGAAATCTCCTTTGCACTGTAACCGCAAATATAGACCCGTGAAAACACAGCACACGTTTAGTATGAGACGCCATTTTAACAACAGCGAGTGTAGCGCTTCAGGTGGAAAGATTGGGAAACTCTAGTGGCACGATTTTAAACTTAGTCATATAGTGTACCCAGGTGTGATTGGTCTTTATTC